AAAAGATGCCTGCAATTATTGTTCGGGGCTCCTCTCACTGAATTGTGTAGGGGGGTCCGTTTGTGCAAACGATTAAAATAAAGCCTCATGTGATTGCATCAACTGGTCTGGAGTCCGGGTTTCTGGGGCTCCCACCTGAGAGGATAGTGCCCTGAGTCTGGGGTCTATCAGGACCAACCATGGAAACCAAGAAAGTGAAGTCATGCCAGGTGTCTGAAAGACAGGAGGAACATGACCCTCTTGCCTCTCCACAGGCCACCCAAGACCTTGCCCAGTATGATGCTGCACATCATGAAGAGTTCAATCACTACAACGCTCAAGGAACATGAGAGAAGACGTTACCTGGAGTCTCCTGGAGAGGAGCAGTGGAAGGAGGCTGAGAGGAAGTTACAAGAGCAACAGCCCAGACACCGGGAACACCCCAAAGTCAATGTCCTGTAAGGACCCTATGTATGCTTTACCATGTTCGACTCCTAAACAGGAAAACAAAGTAAAAAAAAAAAAAAAAAATGCAGATGCAGAACTACAACTCCCAAGAGGCTGTGAGGCAAAAAGACCGTCTACCTATGTAAAACTGCTCCAAGGGTTGCTGGGAACTGTAGTTCTTGCGTGAGCACACAGGCTAGCTGACCTGATACTCATTGTTCACAAGCTCCTGCTGTTCTTCTCCACAGGGCAGCCAAGCCCGATTGAAGGAGGTGTGGGAGGAGCTGGATGGACTGGACCCTAATAGGTTTAACCCCAAGACCTTCTTCATACTGCATGGTAAGATGGGGAGGGTGTTCCAGAACCTGAGAAGTCCTGACGGTCCTGGGGCCTGAATGCCATGGGAAGTCTACCCTTCCCAGTGGGGCTTTGTGAGCCTACCAGGCCTCCTTCATATCCTGACTGGCCAAAGACGCTGCCTCTTCCTGTTGCTAAGCCTGGAGTCTTCCATGGAAGGGCCAAATCTTTTTCCTCAATATTCTTTTCTTCTGTATTCTAAGGAATGGCCATGTCCTCTAACTGAGCAGACCAGGCTTGAGGAATACAGAAGAACTACAACTCCCACGAGCCACAGAGACAAAAAGTGTCTATATGAAAGTGGCCTGAGAGGTAGGGGGCCTGGAGAGATGGCTCAGTAGTAAGAGCACTGGCTGATCTTGCAGAGGACCCTAGCACTCGTGTGGCACTCACAGCCCTCTAATTCCAGTTCCAGGGGATCCAGTGCCCTCCTGGCCTCTGAGGGCACTGTGCATATACATAGTACACATACATACCTGCAGACAAAACACCCATATACGTTAATTTGGAGGGGTTGCTTTTTTATTTTTATTTTTATTTTTTTTAAATCTGCCACAGGGCTGTTGGGAATTGAAGTTCTTAGACTTGAGAAAATGAAGTTTGTTGGCTGCCACAGTAGCCCAGAAGCCTGGGCCTCCCAAGAGTCCTGCCTCAGGGCTGGAAACCTGAGTTTGGTTTGTGGAACATACATGATGGGAAGAGGGAACCAACTCTGACCTCCGCACCTGCACCCACAGCCAGGTGCACACATGCACACAATTTAAACAAAAGGTAGGGGTTTGGTTTTGTTTTCTTAAGACAGGGTCTTGCTGGGCAGTGGTGGTGTGTGCCTTTAATCCCAGCACTAGGGAGGCAGAGGCAGGCAGGTCTTTGAGTTTGAGGTCAGCTTGGTCTACAGAGAGAATTTCAGGACAGCCAGAGCTACACAGAGAGACCCTGTCTCCAAAGGAAAAGAAAAAGGAAAAAAAAAAAAAAAAAAAAAAAAAGACGGGGTCTGGCTGTCCTGGAACTCCCTCTGTGGACCAGGCTAGTCTCAGACTCACAGAGATCCGCCTGCCTCTGCCTCCCGAGTGCTGAGATTAAAGGCGTGCGCCACTATACCCAGCTTACAATTTTTTTAAAATTTAGGAACTAGGGGATGATTCAATTGGTAAATCACTTGCCTTGCAAGTGTAAGGAACTGAGTTCAGGACCCAGATCCCAATAAGCCAGGTGAGGTGGTGTCTCTACTTCACCCAGTGATGGTGAAGAGGAAGGCAGAGACTGGCAGGTCCCTCAAGCTCGTGTGCCAGCTAGCCTGCCCAACTAGCAGTGCCAGGCCGATAAGAGGCCCTCTCTGCAAGAAAATGACCACAGACATGTGGAGGTTTTGTTGTTGTTTTTTGAGACAGAGTTTCTCTGTGTAGTTTTGGAGTCTGTCCTGGAACTCACTCTGTAGACCAGGCTGGCCTTGAACTCACAGAGATCCGCCTGCCTCTGCCTCCCCAGTGCTGGGATTAAAGGTGTGCGCCACCACCTGGCACATGTGGGGTTTTGTTGTTTTGTTTTGTTTTCCTCTTTTTGCCCTCGGTAGCTGTGCTGCGCGTGCTTGCATTCACACCTCACAAGTGCACACAAAGCACCCACATCCAGCGGCTCACAAGCACTTGTCACACACCAGCCCTGGTGTGTCACACATGATGCCTCTGGCCCTGAAGGCACCTGCACTCATGTGTACACCCACATGCAGACACACACGCATAATTAGAACATTTTGTTTAATTTATAAAGAAACTTATTAAGGAAGACAAAGGTGCTGTGGGATGGTCTGTATGTCAAATTGCTCTGATTGGTCAATAAATAAAACACTGATTGGCCAGTGGCCAGGCAGAAAGTATAGGTGGGACTAACAGAGAGGAGAATTGAGAAAACAGGAAGGAGAGGGAGACACTGCCAGCCGCCGTCAGGACAAGCAGCATGTGAAGATGCCGGTAAGCCACAAGCCATGTGGCAAGGTATAGATTTATGGAAATGGATTAATTTAAGATATAAGAACAGTTAGCAAGAAGCCTGCCACGGCCATACAGTTTGTAAGCAATATAAGCCTCTGTGTTTACTTGGTTGGGTCTGAGCGGCTGTGGGACTGGCGGGTGACAAAGATTTGTCCTGACTGTGGGCAAGGCAGGAAAACTCTAGCTACACAAAGGTATGCTGTGCCAAGAACTAGAGTGACCCAGAGAGCTGGGGAAATGTCTGAGGCTAGGGTGCCCAGAGTAACAATTGTTGTTGTTGTTTTGGTTTTTGGAGACAGGGTTTCTCTGTGTAGTTTTGGTGCCTGTCCTGGATCTTGCTCTGTAGACCAGGCTGGCCTCAAATTCACAGAGATCCACCTGGGACTAAAGACCTGGGCCACCACCACCAGGCTCACAGTAACAATTTTAAGTGTTAATTTCTGTAGCAAGTAGTGGATTTGGCTTGGTTTCTTGCCAGAAATGGAACCTCATAATGCAGAGCAAGCACTCTAGCCTGACCTTTGACTGCAGCTGTGCACATAATCCCTAGATACTTTTCTATCTTGCAAAACTGGAACTTTGAGCCACCTGCCATGAAGCACACCTGACTCGTGAGCACTCTGCAGATTCAGGAGAGGCTCAGGAGTTCATGGTCACCCTCATGCACACGGCAAGTTGGAGGCCAATCTAAGCTGTATGAGACCTAATCTTAAAAAAAAAAAAAAAAAAAGCCAGGCCATGGTGGCACACACCTTTTGTTAGACCCCAAAGTCTTGGGTCTCAAGTGGGTGCCCCAAGAACCCAGACTCTGGTCCAGTTGATGCAATAGTGTTTATTGATGTGGCTGTACAGTTGGTCAAACTCTGCTCCAAAGAGCAAGAGTCGCCTTGTACTGTAGTCACATAGGTACTTTTAAAGGAAAAACCCACAAAAGCCATAAGATTACAATTCCCATACAATTTCGTTTCACAAGATCATGGTCTGGTTACAGAGTGATCACAGAGGGGTACAGTTATGTCAACAGGTACATTCTTCCTGAAACCTCAAGGGGGGTATCAGGGAGGGAGTGGAGTTTACACACAGGTCACAGTGGTCCTTCCTGGAACACCTGCAACTATCCCAGTCACAGTTGAGCACATCTCTTAACAGAAATCTCTTTACATTGTTACATTGTTACAGGGGTGGTTGAATAATGGCTGAGTCAAGTTGCCCTTGGAACTAGATTTTTAGTTTCTCATTTCCTGGGGCTTGTGGGGGGGTGTAAACCTGAAAGGTTAGGGTCTTTCACTTTAACCTTTAATCCCAGCACTCAGGAGGCCGAGGCAGGCAGATCTGAGTCCAAGGCCAGCCTGGTCTACAGAGTGAGTTCTAGTCCAAGACAGTCAGGGCTACACAGAGAAACCCTGTCTTGAAAAACACAGATGCGGTAGCACAAGACTTTAATCCCAGCACTTGGGAGGCAGAGGCAGGAGGATCTCTGAGTTTGGGGCCAGCCTGGTCTATGGAGTTACAGGACAGCCAGGACTACACAGAGAAACCCAGTCTCAAAGAAATGAATGAACTAGACCTCTGTACCCACCAGGTAGCTCCTAGTTCACCGCCCCTCCAATCCTGGATCCCCTGTTAGTGTCTTCCCTGGCTCTGATTCCGGCTCCAGGTGCCCTGAGTAAATGCTGCCTGTGCCCGGGAACTTGGTGTCGTTGTAACTTTAGTCACATGACCAGTGGCTGCTGAGTTAGAAGAGTTACTGCGAGCACATAGACCCTCGTGGAAAGTGAGGAGTGGAGATACAGTGTGTGGTGGAGGGCTTGGCCAGCCTGCACGAGGCCCTAGGTCCCGAAAGAACAAAAGCAGGGAATTCCGAAATGATGGGTCTGTCCTTGCTGCCACGTGGGAAGAATTTTCCAGCTGAATGGAACTCAGGCGCACACAGACCCTGGGCTGCGGGGCTGCCGGGGCTGCCGCGCACACTGCGCAAGGAAGGATTAGAGCAGAGGCGGTGGGGTCCGTGGCCCCGCCGCCCTGCCGGCCCCGCCGGCCCCGCAGAGAAGGTCAGGAGCAGTCACCTTCAAGGGTAAACAGAACCTGTCTGGACAGTAAGGCGGCGAGGGCCACACCCAGGAGCCTTGTGGATGGCAGGAAACGCCGGTGGCTGGTTTGTAGACGACAGAAGGGGGTCTGAGTCCGGCATCGCCGTGAGGGCCAAGCTGGCAAGCGAGTACGACAGCCCGTGATGCACGGGCCTCCCTGGCCCCTGGAGTTGGTGTGGGCCTGATTCTCAGAGCCCCTGGACTCCATTCTTAGGCCCGTTTGCTACAGAGTGACTTTTGGTTTGGTTTGGTTTAGTTTTGGTTTTGAGATAGGCTTTCTCTGTATAGCTCTTTTGTCCTGGAACGCTATAGACCAGGCTGGCCTCGGACTCAAGAGATCTGCCTGCCTCTACTTCAGGAATGCTGAGATTGAAGGCATGTGCCGTTACACCCAACCAGAATGGGTTCTTTTTTCTTTCTTTCTTTTTCTTTTTAAGATTTATCTATTTATTGGGGCTGGAGAGATGGCTCAGAGGTTAAGAGCACTGATTGCTCTTCCAGAGGTCCTGAGTTCAATTCCCAGCAACCACAAGGTGGCTCACAACCATCTGTAATGAGATCTGGCGCCCTCTTCTGCTGGGCAGGGATACACGCAGACAGAACACTGTATACGTAATACGTAAATAAATCTTTGGGAAAAAAAAAGATTTATTTATTAATTATACGGTGTTCTGTCTACGTGCCAGAAGCAGGCACCAGACCAAATTATAGATGATTGTGAGCCATCATGTGGTTGCTGGGAATTGAACTCAGGACCTCTGGAAGAGCAATCAGTGCTCTTAAACTCTGAGCCATCTCTCCAGCCCCCAAATGGGTTCTTAGAGCAACAGGCCCTGCAGGATACTAACGCCATGGTGGCCATAGCCACCATTCTGTCTGTTCTCTGCTCAGAAACCTCACATGCACCCACAATTCCTTGACCAGCTTTACCGTGGGGACCAGACTCATCCACCCCTCCGTCCCCTAATGTATCTTATCTCATCTGCAGACATCAACAGCAATGGTGTCCTAGCTGAGCAAGAGCTGGAAGCTCTCTTCACCAAGGAGGTGAGTGTGCTAGAAGCTTCCTGGGCTAGACAGGCTTTAGCCTCACCCACCCTAAGAGATCCTCCTTCCCTATCCATGACAATGCAGGATAAAACTACAACTCCCAGCAGACCCTGGGGACAAAGCTGTTAGTAGTAGCACCAAGCTGCTGCTGCTGGTGCCTTTAAACCTAGCACTTGAGAGGCAGAGCAGGCGAATCTCAGTGAGTTCGAGGCCAGCCTGGTCTACAGAGCGAGTTCCAGGACAGCCAGGACTGTTACACAGAGAAACCCTGTCTCAAAAAACAATGCCGGGCAGCTGCAGTTCCGGGCAGACACGGGTACTGGCTGGCTCTGCACCCTGGGACACTGGGTCTGAAGGAGGAAACCAGGACCCAGGCCCCTAAATCAGAGTCCCGAGGATTGGTGACTATGATCCTGAGTCTAGGGAGGAGAGATGGACCTGGGCCGTGTGTTGAAGGAGCAGGCCTGGGAATCCTGTTTTCTGTGTTTAGGAAGTTCCTTGTCTAATGTCGTTCTCCTATTTCCTCTGCAGATGATGCTCCTGTCCCAGCTCCAGCAGGTGACCAGAAAGATGTGGCTGCTTCTGAAAAGAAGGCCCCAGAACAACCCCTGAGCTGCCCCAGCTGGACTCCCAGCACTTACAATCTCTCAGTGACCGCCCCCCCCCCACGCCTCCAAGTTCCTACAGACAGCTGGATGAAGTGTCCTTGCGGCCTCTCTGGAGGCCTGAGCCTGCATGGCCTCCTGGGGAGGAGGACGGGGCTCCCTGTTCCTTAGAGGCGCCTGTGTCTGCCCCCTCAGCTCTCCCAGCCTCCAGGTCCCGGCCCTTCCTCTGTCTCCTGGCTTCTTTACTCTGTCAGGGACTCACTGCAGGAGCTGGAGCTGAGAGAGACCCTCACGTACCTGGAGTACATGCTCCAGGCATGCCTTCCTGGTTTGCTCTTGGCTGTTCCAGGCTTAGCCACTTTGCATCCTGTGCCTAGTGTCACAGGGTCCCAGGAGCTTGGCTTGGTCCCTTTTACTCTGTCTTCTGTGGGGCCAGAGATCTCAGTTCCTTTCAGTGGCTGGAGGCTTGGGACATGGGGTGTCCTTCAAGTAACTGTCAGCTCTGCCTGGGCCCCTGGCTTCCATCGCCACCTCACCAGCCGTACCCTGACCTCCTGGGCCCAACCCATGCCCCCAGAAGGTACCCAGGTACGGCTGCACACCTAGCTGAGATTCAACCGCCCTCAGCCCCCATTGGGCGCTCCTGAAAATTGGTACACCCTGGCTTCATGCCACACTACGATATCCTGCTCTATGCTCCAGTTCCATTCAAATATAGCCTGGCACAAATAAACATTAGCGTGTCTGTGTGTACATACTGCCCTCTTGGAAGTCCCACCTACATGCTGACACCTTGACTCCAAGGTAACCAACCTATGGGCACTTTTTTTTTTTTTTTGGTTTTTCGAGACAGGGTTTCTCTGTGTAGCTTTGCGCCTTTCCTGGATCTCACTCTGTAGACCAGGCTGGCCTCGAACTCACAGAGATCCACCTGCCTCTGCCTCCAAAGTGCTAGGATTAAAGGCGTGCGCCACCACCGCCCGGCACCTATGGGCACTTTAAGCCTCACTTCTGAGAGGTTTGGTGGGATGCTCATGGCATCCTTGCCTCAACGTTGCTTCATTCTGCCTTGGGGACAGAAAACCCAAACCTGGGCTTGGGAAAAGAATTCAATAGCTTAAACAATTTTAAAAATACATTATTAACGGGCTGTGGATCAGTTATACATGCTTGCTTAGCATGTATGGGGCCCTGTGTCTCACAGGCCGCTTAAATGGGGAATCCGAGTGAATGCCTGTAATCCTAGCCCTTGGGAGGTGGAGGCAGGAGGATCAGGAGTTCAGTGTCATCCTAAACTGTACAACAAGTTGAAGGCCAGCCTGGGCTATATGAAGCCCTGTGTCCAAAGGCGGGGGG